AGACTTCCAAGATAAGTGAAGTTGTCAACGCGTTCGACTACTTCACTCCCTATTCTTAGTTCAGGTGTTAACGCAGACCAGTCCTGAAGCAACAACTTGCATTTAGAGGGAGAGAAGCGCATTCCAAACATTCTGGCATTGTTGCTTAGTGCTACCAGAAGACTGCATTTTGTCAGCGTCTTCACCAAACAGGACTATGTCATCTGCGTATTCTAAGTCAATAAGTTGACCTCCTGGTAGGAAATCAATACCCGAGAATTCAGTCGACGAAAATGTTATTTCCATTAGTAGGTCTATGATGAAGTTAAACAGAAATGGAGAAAGTGTACAGCCTTGACGGACACCACTTGAGGTTGCGAGAGTAGATGACAGTTCGCCATAAGCCCTGACTCAACTAGTAGAGTTCGAGTAAAGGAAATTGGATTAAAGGTGGTCTTAGTGACCTGAGAGCGCGACCGCAATGCTCAATGGACAACTGCTTGAGGTCGGTCACACACGACCTTGTTATGGGTAGTTTTTGTGTTAGCTCCGTACTTATTGAGAGCTTACCGCCGGAGACGGATATCCATGGAATAAGGCGAGGTGTGCATTTTTAGGGTTGACCTTTTCTAACCCCACCCCTTCTTGTGGGAAGGCAGCATCACTGTCATGCTGGTTGTCTGAAGGAAACACCTTACTGCTGTCACACCTCTGTACAGTCAGCAGTACGACTTCGCCTTCGGACCTTGGGTTTGTTGCTTTTAGTCTTACCGCTCTTCAACCGACCTGTCTGACATGGTAGGACCTTGAGGAACGGTTGTTCCAGCCAATATAGCTCAGTTGCTTCATCACGATAGGCAAGCCCGACCATCACGTCAAGGTAGCAACAACGGTCGGGTTCGAGTGGTGTAAGGCACTCTCTATACTGTTTAACTGCACCCATTTTGTCAGTAAGCCATAAATTTGATAATTGAGTTGTCCATTTCATAAAATGCTCACTGGAACGTCATAAATCCATATCAATTTATCGGGGAGTGAAATGAGAAGGCGATAGCTTGTACTATGATTGATTCACTATCTTTCACCTACTTTGTGATAAGTCTAGATAATGATTTTAGTATCAACCATTTTACACAAATCGTCATGAATTTTCTAATCTAAACGATTTTCCACATAATTACGAAGTGTAAAGTAATCCGAATAAAATACACATTCTGTCTTGACTACTTGTGAGTAGCCTAAACCGGTAAGAATGTTTTTAATCACTGAAAAATTTGTACCATACTACAACAGATATATAATCGAAGAATATTCTTTTCAGCAAACTCGCTTCAGATTCTACAATTGTGTGTCTAACTTAATAATCCGAAATTCGGCTAGGTTTAAAGCGGAATACAACGTTTAAAGTGATAGCATGTGAATTCAGGGTTGTTTGTAATATAAACAACTAATTTGAAGTGTTGACTTGAATAAGTTTATACGTTAAACGAAATAGAGAGGATTATAATCGGAATAAATGCGGTTAACATGAGTTATGAGAGATAATATTGTAATTACAAATTAGAAATTATTTAATATTTAGAATATTATGAATTATGTACGAATTAGTAAATAGGGTTGAATGTTGGGTAAATTTCCTAAAACGTTTACAAGTATTATAATAGTAGTGATAACAATAACGATAACAATATGTGTGAATAAGTTTAGTCTACGAAAATGCAGTGAGGAAGGTTGGATGAACATTAATCAAATTATATCACCATTTCATAAAAATGATTGACTAATTAGGCTAGAAGTTGGACAAGATAATAGGAGCGGTTGAAATTGCTTCTTATGAACACAAAGCTCCGGAGTTTTGATCCAAATAATTATTGCTTCAGCCATCTGAAAGATCGTAAATCTGGAATATTTAGGCAGATCACTATTCAGACAATACGTTATTGTACATGATCGCTTCATGTTGGCTATATGGCCCGTTTGTATTATAAAAGCTAAAACCCAGCTGTTAATATTTTCAATTATACCTTTGCTTAACCACACTGTGAGGTGCTAAAAAGCACGAAAATACATATTCCTAGGACACCTTTGAATATAACTTGCCATGCAAGAGCAGTTGGATTGATAGATACAGAAAGAGGTGGCTAGTCTAATTAATTTATCTTTGGATCTTATAATGACCATCGAACGTAGGGAAAACATTAATTGTAGTTTACATGCATTGAATGTGCCTTGAATTACTTTAGTATTAACATTTCGCTGGGTGCTTCGTCTCTAGATTGTAGGCGTATATACAGAGGATTTATGCTACCAGTTATACCTTCCTAACGCTCTCTTATCATGGCTGAATGTTTATTCATAAGCTTTTTCGGATATCCATTTTCTTTCAGATCAGTACGCAATGACATTGTTCTTCTTTAGCCCCATCTAGGAACCACATGGTCTTAATTCTATAACGAAAAGTCTTAATCAGGTTCCTTTTTACTGTTAAGGAACAAAATTTTAAAAAAATTGTATATTGACCACTCCAAGTATTTTTCTTTTTTAAGTCTCTTCTTAGTGACCAATCTATCCTCATGCAAGTAAAAAATCTACAAAAGCTATTCTACCTCTTTCCCTCATCATATGTAAATATGATAGACGGATGAACTTCTATAAATCGCTTGAGTGTCTTTATGTGGTCAGTACGATAGTTGAACTTATCGTACATAAATCGACAGTTAAATGAAAACTTGTCAATATGTTGTGCCAGTGGACCGTTTTCTAGTTTAGTGAAATAAAATCTCAGCCGTATGGAACCTAGGGGTTAAGATATTGTAACATCATCTATTTGTTCATATATTTCATCATTGAATTTGAAGTTTACGTTCATAGTATATTTCAGTAATAATCCCAAAATGAAGTCCACCGGGGATGTAGTCTCCCTTTCTTGTTCTTTAAGTCATTCACACATATATTCAATAATCTCCTTGAGTGGGACATTTTTAAACAATGATGTTAACTTAAAGAGATCATTTGTCCTTTAGTGTTTACGTTTTTGATCTTGTCGACGAACTGGAACACATCCTTAATATTATGCCTCACTGTATGTTTGTGGAGTCGTTTTAAAGTGGTTATTAGCCACTTTACTACAGTATGCTAACGGAAATTGTACATGTCTAAAATTAGTCTCAATGGGATATCCGGTTTGTGTAGCTTCGGCGGTCGGTATAATTTTGGTATCAACGTAGTTGTCTCATTTGATAGAATTACCTGTTGATCCGTGAAGTTTTCTAAAGATCTGGTCTGTTCATTCTCTATCTTATTATTTCATCTTTCTAGTCATTCATATTTTGGAATTTTAAATGACCAGTCATTATGTTATTCACCTTGTCGATGTAGTCTGTGTGGTTGAACAGGACAGTTCCCGTTTCATCATCAGGTTTCGTAATCATTGAATTTTCGTCATTATTAAGTTCACGAATAGCTTTGTGCTTTTTAGTTAAAATGGTTCTGTAGTTATATCTGCTATTCTGAAATTGATAACAGCAACCAACCAGAAATGATCTAAAACGCCCAAGACCTTAATCGGAGGTCAGAACTATATTTTAAATTGGATGTCTTTATTTATTTATGCAGTTTCGTCCATCACAATTTTATTTCTAGTGATAATTATTCAATTTTTCCTTTATTTAATTAGTTGCCGGAAAAATTATGAACATAAATTATAAGTCCAATCGGAGATTTATTTTGAACTGGTTGATTTTCTATGCTTTTGAAAAGTTGGTTACGTCTGTTCACTAATCTTTGTTTATTTATCTTTGTAACTCAATGTCTTCTGTTAATTTATCAACAGCAAGTTCCCTGTGAGCAATCTTTACTTCGAACTCCTTCAAGTCAGTATTTAATAGATAATAATTAAATGCTTTTTTTTGTTTTGATGAACTTGATTACGGCATATCTTCTACAGAACACTTTTGGATCATGACGTGTTTCAATACAGTTTCCCAACAAATTCCAACGACGTTTAAGCTTTCGTAAACTCTGCGCTATACTTCGGAACTTCATTGAGTGCCTTCAACTCAACGGGTTGATCATATTTTAATAGCTGAAAAAGCCCCCATCATTAACGATTTTATTTTATATTATAAAGGGTCTTAAATTCACACGCTATCATCCTAAACGATGTATTTTACCTTGAACCTGGCCACTTTTCTGATTAATAATTTAATTGCAGAACCTGAAGAATATTCTTCGTTAATATATGTTTTAGAAATGCTTTTATTTAAGTATTATCCTCAAATCAGTAAAAAATCTTGTATAATTACGTACAGACTTTCATAAGGTATGTTTTCGCTAAAAAATGAACAGGACCTTCAGTCATTACAAGTAGAGCAGACTTTTTTTCATTCAAACATCACTTTTCACACTATTACTGAACACGAGTTCCATTTTGCTATATAGTTGCCCTCAGAAATTAACTTTGTGACTTCAGAATTACATACCTCCATCCAGTATAAAACTATGAAATTGATAAGTACTATTCAGTAACATCCACTTGATAGCACTTCAGGGCCTACTAACATTTTATTACTTAATCTAACTTAGTCAGACATTTTGGAAGCAATAGACTTACTGAAATAAATGAATTATTTGATATTACTCCGTTAATTATGTGACGTTCATTTATAATTTTAAGTCTCTTATGATATACAGACAGATCTAGTTGACAAATATCAACTATCACGAAACCTACATCTAGAGTTTCTCCTCAACTGCCTTTAACCACATAATATAATACTATGATAATAAAATTCATTAGTTCTGGAAAATCAACACCCATTAAGTACAGCATACTCCTATGATCCCGACGGAAAATTTGAATGAACAGATACATGGAGATCAGTAAATATAATTTCGGAAATAAAAAAAGAATTTTAAACAAGAAACAAATAGATAATTTTGTAGTCATATATGAAATTATTAGGTAATATATAACAAACAGATAAAACGAAACAAAGAATAAGGACATATACAAAAAGATGTCAACGTGATAGTCTGTTTTGCAATGATTGTAAATCTGGAAAACGTATCTCCTTGAATTTCTGATGAAGATTCAAATCACGCATTGCTGAAACAGCCCGAGCTGGCGCTCCGGATAATCCAGACTAACATTTTTTAACAAAAAAAGGTAAAAACAGGTTGATCACATATAAGTTCATGTTTTATGAATAATACAATCAGCACATAGAAAGAAATTGGCGCTTAAATTCGTTTTTTTTTAATTAGTGTGCATAACGTTTACAATTTCACTTCAAATTTCACCCAAAACTTTTGGATATAAAACAAACTAGCTGCAATCGGATTATGAAACAGGATTCATTTGTAGCGACCTGTTGTACACGTAGGACATAATAGGCACTTAGTTAAATCCATAACCATATCACAAAGTGAGATAACAATTTGATATAGGCTCTTGTGTTCATTGAAACAAAACGGAATACTTATGTTGTGGTGTGGGTTACTTATATCCACACAAGTAGTATATAACGGTGGTCAGGTATATGTATGTATTTCAGTAGAAGGTCGATGAGGAAAGAACGGGAACGGAACGCAATTGGTATGAAAACGTATGAACAATGAAATTTGAGACAATGGTATGATGTTTGCAACAGGAACAGTCAATTTTGAAATGATGGGTTGATATTTTGCAAATTAACAATTTATTACATGGTTCAGATTTTATTGAGATGCTCTGTAATTTAATGTCAAATACATTCGATCATCCCCACTGGTGTTTTTGTTCACTACAACGTGACCGACAGATCCTTATTACTTCTATGGTACGTACTCGTACACATATTATCGTCACCTTTTACTCACGTACATTTTCTGTAGGTATGCTATTCTATTTTCGTTTATTCATATGAACTATGTACGTGGGTTGGTTAGTATTGCCAATCCCAAAGACGTATTCACGTATTCATTCTCTGCCTGTCTCCTAATAAGTTTTCTTGAAATACAACCTCCCCGTTACATTTGTATTTAGCATTAATATCATCTTTATTCAAATGGCATTAGCTAAATTATTATATAGAAAATTAATAATAGGAACCAATAAATTATGGAGTCAGATGGGCCACAAAACGCCATAACGTAAAGACTCCCATGCAAGTCAACGGTTGCAAATCGCTGTAAGCAAAGCGGAAACCAACAGAGGCATAGATATGAATAAAAATAGAAACAAATTGAGCATTGGGTAGATTGTTATAAATAAATAATATATTTGTAATATCTCATTGGGATATTACAAATATATTATTTATTTATAAAAATAGAAACAATTACGGTGCAAGAAAAGGTACACATCAGTAGTGTAATGTTTAAAACTTCAGGGAAGATGTGCAATGGACAACGACGGTTTCTAGTTATCCCAAGCACGCTATCTCTATACAACTGAATCCCCCTAAACTACTTGTATTTAGTAGGATGGTAAACTTAAAGGCAAACAGTTTGACAGTTAAACTGCTACAATATACTTCGATACGTAAACGTAAGTACAGTCTCTCGATCAACGTTTAGAAAGATCTATGAAAATATACTAGCCAAAACAAGTTCGTAAAACCACCATATTCAATTGCCCAATCTCTTAATTCGATCTTTTATTTTCTATAACATTTGGAAACAGTTCTGAAATACGTGCCGATATAGATTTCTTACTTGAAAACTTCTCGGCCTTGAAATTGAGCATGATGCTGTTACATATTTTACCACTAAACAATGATTGCTATCTGGGTGGTTAACTCAGTGTTTTAGATACCATTAAGATTAGGTTCATTTCTCTGAGATTATAGTGAAATGAGTTATGTTGAACATAAACTTGATTCTTCAAAGTTCAGCACTGATATAAAGCGACTAAATTTAACCCAATTATTTAAATTCTCACCCAAGTTGATTTAATTAACGATTCTAGTCTAGATGATGCTCAGAACCTTTCATTTTCAATCGTTTTACTTCATAACCATCTTCTGTCCGTCTAAAACTACACGACTATTATTCATTTTGTACTTAGACACTGTTATCGGATTGACAGTGGCTGTTAAGTTAATGAAGACCTACGGAAATGCTGTTAAATTTCTAGAGTTCATTGTCCCACCTATTTGGGGGCACCAGGGCATTTGAGGGCCTGGCACGGCCAAGAGTGGGGAGAGTCTGCTCTTCTCGAAATGCTCTCACATGGTTACGCGTATATAGCCTCTGCCAGGGAAGTCCTACTCACTGCCTTCTCGTACCATGGGTGTTGTTTACGAAATTGAGAGGACGAAAAGCGAATGTCTGGCGCTTTAACCTGGTTGGTGGGCATGGAGAGTCCACCTAGGGGAGTTGGAAAACCCTGATTCCAAACCAATGAAGTACATTGGCTCCAGGAACAAATGGCGTATGAACCAATCGTTGGTCACTGGCTACCATGGGACTACATCGTCTCATGTTGCTCCACTGCCTTGTGGATCAGACCTTCAGATCGAAGGCTCCGGGTGTGGCCCCCTAAGAAAACCACCTGCTTCGGTTTGGGCACTCGGGCAGTATTATAACCCTCACACATATAAAATGAGATCTGTGTGGCGCATATGTATTTGGTGCCTCCTTGTACCAATATCTATGTGTTAAAATAAATAAATAATCCCACTTATTCATTCTGATAGTAAATTATTAGACTATTTCTGAGCTTGACCTTTTGAAGGTTAAATAATAAAATGACTGGAATGAATTCATCTATACGCATATATCTTAAGGCGGAAAAATTCCTTGTCTAGAAATATCACTAGTACATAGTCTATTTACGTATTTCATCTTTTATCATTATTTAACTTATAAAATAATCCTTAATTAGTTTGGAACTTTAATCCCTTCTTTATTATATCAATAGTTACAATAATAAATTGAACTTGCCTCTTGTTTCTCTAGTTTTTGCTGTTCTTCATATCTATGAGTAATTTCATTAATATGAGTTTCTAATACCATTCCACCTAATACAAGTTCATTTAGTATGTAGTGTACCTATAAAAAAAGATTAAAAACTATTTTTTTAAAACAACAAATTACCTTATCTACATGAAAAATTAAATCAAGTTCACAAACATTCTCAAAACATTTATCTAATGCTTCAACAAATACTTGAATTAAATCCAATATGCCAAGTTCACTTTCAGATGAATCAACACAAAATACAAAATACAATGTTGCATAATGACGATAAATTAATCTATAATCTTGTCCACCGACTAGTCTGTAAAAGATCAATATACAAAAACAGGGTATCTTACGTGCCACCTTCTAAAAAGTTACAAACATCATCATCTCTTCTAGAGACCAAATGAAAAACTTCTTTGACAATTTTCTGTTGTTCATCTTCACTCTGTGATTGAGATACAGTAAACAACAATTTAAACATACATAGTGCTCATAAAACTTTATTAATCTTGGTTTTCCATGGTTATTAATAATAAGTATGGCACGAATCATCAACAGGAAATATCAAGGTGTATCCGAAAGTAGCGTTGCATAAACTCTGTATCGCTTCAGTGAACCGAAAAAAACCTGAAGCAAAAATAAAAGACTTAAGTAGCCAACTTTTATGGAAGTAATAAAAAATTAAAGTTACTAGTGTTTGTCGATCGACATAAACATCACCATGAACGTTATCACAAGTCAAAGACTTTTAAGATGTTTAGTCAGTCAGTCATCTACAACGTAGGATCAGGCACATGTATGAATCGGTCCAAGTTGCCATACTTTTAATTAATATTTACATGTTGAAGATAGAGTTAGAGCTAGTGACACGATGTACGATCAGGTTAAGCCTCACCCAAATGTATGGAGAGCTATTTTATCATTTATTTATTCATTTGAACACATAAATATTGGTACAAGGCGGCACCGAATACATATGCGCTACATAAGTCACTTGATTTGTGTGTCGGCCGTGATACTTCCCGGGTGCCCAAACCGAAGCAGGTTGTTTTCTTAGACGGCCACAGTCGAAGCCTTCGACCTAAAGATCCAATCCACGAGGCAGCGGAGCAACTTTAGGAGATGCGATCTCATGATTGTCGGTGGACAACAATAGTCAGTCAGTCAGTAACAACGTGGAACTTAGTACGTACGTACATCAGTTCGAGTCGCCACACCACATTAGCACAGAGATGCAGTTGTCGACTCAAATTCTGTAGTGGTAGAGGTAGTAAGAGTATAAGCAGTAATAGGAAAGATTAGGGTTTGAAGATCTTATTCAAGTAGCATAATCCAGTGAAATAAATTTAGAAAGAAAATAAACGACCTGAAGAATTTAGAAGATTAGAATTTGGGAGAACACAAAGAGTGGATGCACCTGCGCCATTGCAAACGATTTTGAGCCATGTCATTCAAAGTCTCTAACCATCGGTCGCTATCACCTCGCGGATCCAAACCAGGTAGTCTACACCTACGAACATGGCTCAGTCCATTTGTCAGTGACTTCATGGACTTGTGCCACGTTTTGGTCTGGCCGCCCCTAGCTTTCTTCCAGACTACTCCTATACCAGAAAACATCGCACGTTGGGGCAGTCGGTGGTTGGACATACGTAACACGTGTCCCAGCCATCTCAACTGATGAAGTTTCACTACTTCATCAATTGATTTGCCATCCTTACCTAGTACCCGTTTCCTAACAACTGCGTTACTTACTCGGTGACCCCAAGATGTACGAGCAATGTTTCGAAGGCATACGTCATTCGCTACCTCAGAATCCTGGAGCGTATGCGCACTATTAGTTTAGAATCAGGGTTTTCCAACTCTCTAAGGTAGATTCTCCGTGTCCACCAACCTGGTTAAAGTGCCGGACATTCGCTTTTCATCCTCTCAATTTTGTAAACAACACCTCCGCCACAAAGAGGCAGTGAGTAGGACTTGCCTGGCAGTGGTTGTGTGCACGTGGCGATGTGAGAGCATTTCGAGAAGGATAGCGGACTCTCCCCACACTTGGCCGTACCAGGGCCATGAGTGCGCTGCTAAGACAGATTGGTCAGTAGATATCAGCTCATCAGTTGAAGAAGCATGGTCTATATTTAAAGGCACGTTTAGTTCAGTTACGTCCTCGTTTACACCATACCTGGTACTACGTAGACCGAATAACAGTCCACTATGGATAACTAAACAAGTCAAGAAACTTAGTGGACGTAGAAAAAAGCTTTAGAATATATTCATTTCTACTGGTTTAGAACAGTATAGATCCAGTTATTGTAAGACTAGAAACGCTTGTAAAGCGATTATTATTAAGACTAGAATGTCACGAAAAACAATTGGTTAGGAATTTTAAAAATGTTCCGAAACCGTTATTCTCGTATACAAAGAGGTGAACTTAAAAAAGTGGTGAGGTTCCATCACTTTTGGTACAAACAAATCCGTTAATATTTACAAGAAATGAGGTCGAAAAAGCTGAAGCTTTATCGGAATATTTTAAGTGTTTTCTATCATTGATTAAGAACGACCAAGGATTAAGTGTGATTTTGGCGGTTTGTTGATAGATCTTGTAGTTATTGAGAAATGCACAGTCTTAAGACTACTTCAACATCTGAAACCTGACAAACCCAGTAGTTCTGACGACATTCACCATAGGATTATGAAGGCCATTGTCGGATGTATTTGCTGAAATTATAGTCATGCTGTTTGATATGTCTCTGTGGCAGTCCAGACTACCAAGAGATTGGAAAGACGCAATAATTAGTCTGGTGTATATGGCGGGGAGTAGAGATTCAGTTAGTAACTACCGACCCGTTAGTCTAACCAATGCAGTTGTAAAACTAATGGAAAAGATCGTTCGGATGGCTGCTACAAACTATGTAGAAAGGCATAATCTTTTGTCTATGGAACAAGATAGTTTTCGGGAAGACGTGACATGTTTGACAAATCCGCTCATTGCACGAGAAGATTGGGCCGCGGTAAAAGATAGAAATATTTATGTAGATGTGATTTTCATAGACGTAAGAAAAGCCTTTGATAAGGTTTTCAATTCGTTCCTTAAATTAGAACTGGAAAGTTTTAGATTATATATTTATTTTAGATTATTTATTTAGATTATTATATCCAAGTCGATGACGCAGGAAGCGCACAAAATGCACTCAGATTTAGTAAAGAAAGTAATAAATAATAATCAGCAATAAAAAAACCGGATCAAAACATTTTGTTGACCGAAACTAGACGTAGATATTTTGACCCAAAACACTTACCAAACAGCCAGTATGTGAACTCCAAGGTCGCAGAGGCCAAATAATCAAGCCATGAAAGTAAATTGACAATTATCAATATCTTTGCTGCAAACAAGCGTTTCAGTTTCTTTGTTTGAATCATGATGTTAAGCAGCGTTTATTGGTAGTCTTACCAATCGATGGCAGTTGCTACTTTGAATTTTTCTAGGTATGTTGTTGAAAAGTATGGATTAAAGCAAATAACAGTATGAGAACATAAGATTCTGTTCTGAATCCTTGAGAATCCACCAAAATTCTCTTGGAGGATTCAAGACAAGTTTCTGTTGTTAACTATTTTTTTGTCGTTTCAGTACTTAACTGCTTTTAAACGGTAAGAGATATGATTACATTCCGAACTACTATGTCCCCCATCTAACTTCTAATTATTCCTTATAAGATTGAGGGTCTGGGTGATAGTGGCCCCAAATGACGCAGGTTTTTTGTCACGCTTGCGACCGCGAACTTATACAGTGTCTCGTCATGACAGACTGAACTTATGGTCACTTTCGTTAGTCTCTTTCTCCAAGGACTTGGATTCTTATTAGTTATTTTGGGTTCTCTTTGAGCTTTATGACTTTCCACATTATAATCTGTCAAACGACAAAGAATCTCAAAGGCAGCCGGCCTGCACTATTAGTAAATATGAAACCAGGTTACACAGACAATATGGTGGGAATTTACATTATTAGGCCGTTATGGGAAATCAACAGCGGGAATAAGTGCAATTTCGTTAAGGCTGATCAATTAATAGTGGCGTGAGGTGATTCACCAAGAAAGTAGCTAAAACGGTATGTGAAATATGGATTGCTCATCTGGGTACCTCATTTCACTTACATTCAGATAGAGGTACCAACTTTGAAAACATACTTTTTTTAAAACTCATGCCGTACTGGGAATTCGTATTACACGAAAAACTGCCTACCATTTAGAAAGCAACAGGTTTGTTGAACGACCCAATTGAACACTCAAAACGCTACCAAAAGCATTTGTTATTCAGGAAGAAGCTAGATCACAGGACTCTGCCATAAACATGTTTACCAACATATCGCGGTAATGTCCATACACCTCAGTTACTGCGGACAGAGAAGGGTGTATGGCTTCCAGCTGATTTCTTGCCGCCAACAATACACTCAGAAACCCTCTTGGTGTCAAACACGGTTATGAAGCTTCGGGACGACATATCGAGGCATCATAGTATGACTCAAGTACATTTGGGGATGGTACTCAAACATCAGAGAGAGTATTACGGTAAGAAGACTCTTGAAGTACCCTTACAATCAGGAGAAAAGTATGGTTAAGAACAAGAAACCTAAGAACAAGGAAAGTTACTAAACTATGTAGAGAATAGACAGATCCTCATGAAATGAACGAAGTCTTAGCGAAATCTTCGTGTGAACTAAGAGACACCAGAAACGAATCTCGCTTACATATGTTCGCCCAATATAATCACCTAAAATTGTCTTATGATCGTGTATGATATATGGTTAGCCAAAAACTACACCTAAGTTACTTTTAAAACAATCGGTTCACGACTGCGTTTTGTTTGATTTGTTACGTACCTCAAAGTGATAGAATAAGCGGCAAGAACATTAAGAGAGAAGCGACCTTTGGTCTAAAGTTATTGATTGATTGGTCGGATCAGTAACTGTATTTGGACAGTCGCAGCTAGTTAGAAGCTCACTGAGACGAGAATGTACACACATCTGACAGTAATATTTACTCCAACGACGTACCAGCCAACCTATCGAGTTGATGGCTACAGTTTTATTGTCACTGTTGCACCCTGTTTGACCGTATTAACATCCACTCACCTAAATTTCAGAATGTCAATACAGCCGAGCAGTACTACATAATAATCATTGCAGCGAGGCAAAATTAAAGCTTTCTGAATCTGTGGAATTATGTGCGGTTGGTGTTTGTTACCACAATAACAGACTTAATCTGAAATTCGTGGATTAGTCATGATTTGACTACCTAGTCTATAAGATCTAGCGTGGAGGTCACATCATTGGTTATACTAACTCATCCTGTTGTGATAATCAGCACTATGAACTTTGGTACTTCTGAACATGCTTTGTTCGAGGATAAAGTAATATATTTAATGCAAAGATATTAGTTACACAGATTGACTAGGCCTACCGGGATGAACCATTTCTATAGATGCTCGGTTCCAGACTTGATTATTTTCAACCTCTAAGTGTTACAAATTGAATGCAAACCTTGTCAATAGTGATATGCTTGGCTTCAAAGATCATGTGGTTAGGAACCGATACCACTACAAATCCACTAACGACTTTGGTGGAAACTCGTACATTTGATTTGCATAATATTTAATTCGGGCCGTTCAGCAGTTGCTGCTATTCCATAAGCCATTGCATACTATCCATTTAAGCATTCCTTCGTCTCAAAAACCAGTCACGGACGTTTTACAGTGTTCTGTAAACCGAAGGATTTTTCCAACCAAGGAAATCAACAGGACTTAAATTACGGTCGTTACAGATTCGCTCACCCATTTCCATTGATTCGTGGTGATGCAGTATGTTAACCAAAAAACACCAAATGACACCACATCACGCGAATCGAAACTTTGAATGACAAGTGCATGTGATTGACCAATATATGGTTTATTTCAAAACAGTAGACATATTTATGTGTATAAATGATTGCTGATTAATTTTTTTCCAGCAAACATTCTTCATTCCTAGTGTTCTCACAAATAAAAAGATTCGGGGCCTGCATACAAGAAACTCGTGCATTAACATGTCTGGACACTGAGGTTTATACCATTCGAAATGCACCAGTAGAGTAAAACGACAACGAAATGACTCTTGGCTTACATCATGAGACGATCGACTACTCAGGTTTGCTTTAGCTGGTGAACAGACCAGTCTCGTTTCGTTTCACTTTGAGGGAACAAAAACGGATCTTACCAAGAGAATTCTTTGTTTAGATAAAAGGAGAACAAGACTTTAATCGCCACAGAAAGCAACTGACCGTCATGTATATCAGCTTCATTGAATGTATCCTCGATCCACTCTAGGCATCTTTGAACTTCATCAAATTTATTAACATTTCGTGAGATCTTTATATTTGGCTAGGTGGATTACTTGGATGAGTCCCTCCATGATTTGGGTTAGTACTAGATATATTGCAACCCATCTTGTCACAAAGTTTATGTTACTCAGAGTGCTTGGTTGAATCTCTTGTCCTGTGAAAGCATTAATAGTAAAAATGTCGAAAATAACAATGCAACTTGTCTTAATTTGAAGGAGAGTGAAGCACCAACGTTTTTGTTCAAGTGTTTTAGTAGAGACCTCATATCGGAGACCCGAAAAAATGGCGAATAGATTGTAACTAAACTAGGCAAATAATCAAGAATCCCTAGCTTTATGCCACTTAAGTACTCCGTTTTTAGCGTTCTTCTGTGAACTCTGAAATTGGCATCTATGTAGAATTATCGTCTACTTCAATATTAGTACCGCTGTAATAATAAACCTAATCCTAAAATTGTAGATTTGTAATGGTTTAACCGATTAATCAATAAGATCTTACGCGGTAGTCACATCATCGTGTAAGCCAATTGATTGCATCGTAACAATCACCAATATATGATGAAAAACAAGCTTGGGCTAGAGATACTACCAAATATTTGATATGAGCAAAATATGTAAGGTTATAACAGCATAGGTTGGTTGGTTAAGAGCTCACCTCAAACAACTAAGCATATGTCAAAACAGTATAGTTCAAGTATTTATTCACTGCTTTATTTCGTATAGTCGTCGTATTTCCTATTATCATATATTAAATGTTGAGAGGCTTTGTTTGTCTGAACAGATAATCCCACGCTCCACTGTGACTGTGCGAAGATCTAAATAAAGACCTATTCACTACTTGTCTGGTTTTTCTATTCAAATGACATCGCTCTTTTGCGCTCTTTTTCAATTTTAGCGGCATGGATTTCTTCTCATCTTATGAACGCTTTTCTCGTTGCTAACTTTGTTGCTTCATAGTCACGATTCAGTCGTGATTTGAGTGATTCCTCCTAAATCTTATTTTTATCTTCAACTTGTTTTAGGTGTTTATTATATTGATTTCGAAGTCGTTCAAGTTCATTCATTTGATCACGCCAGGTAACCATCCCTCTCCCATAACTCTGTTGCGTGAAGCCAAAGGTGACAGCGGCAAGTGAATTTGAAACATCTGGTTCTAAAGACAGATCTCTAATTATCTGTGTAGTTTTTAGTGTTGCAAAATGGCCAACAGAAGATGACGTGTCCGCTGGGAAGCTTATTTCAACAGAAGCTATACGGGAGGTTTCAGTGACCATAACCGAATCATTAGGAGAAGTAGTCGAGAACCGACTAAAGCTTTAAGTTTCTCGGCTACTTATATCTGTCTTTGTCGGGGTAACAGAAGAACCCACAGTTTCAGCGATTGTGCCGAGGTGCCTCAATTCATTGTTGGAATCAACTGAGATTGAATGATACACATGACCGTCGGTACTGGACTACATATTAGCGTATAAATGACTGTCGATTTGGACAAGACGCGAATTCTGAGGATGTTGAGTTATACTAGAATCCCCTTTGCTTAGTCTGTGTGAGGTCGATCGATTAGGCAGAAGTGAAGGTTGTGTTCCATTAAAATCGAATAAACCACCATGTCCACTAGCCGGATCGAATGTGCGAGACGATGAGTTTTCATTTGAAATTCCATATACAGAATGTTTGGGTTCAGGGTTTTCACATGTTTCTGACTAGGACTACTGCAGCTACTGAATAGATTACTGCTAGCGCTATCCACGTTGTTCGAACAACTATCACCTACAAGATATTCGACATAATCGTTTATCGAACTAGTATCATGACTGGTTTCCTCATCAATACATTTGTTAGAATCACGCTGCTGAGTTTTAAGAGATGCCTTCCGTAAATCGTGCCGTCGCAAACTGAACTAATATCCACCAATCTTTGTGAGATTGCCTTAATATTCCACAGACGAGATTTGCTTTGTAGGAATTTCTTGCAGAAGCCTCTAGGTCTGCAATAGAGTCATCATATACAAACCCAGTTTTCCTTGACGTTGGGATTTATTGACTTCTGT